GTGTATGTCTGGACCTGGCGCTTTCTCCCTGTGTGCAGCGCCAGGCTCCTTCACACCTGGTGAGGGATACGATGCATGTTTAGTCTGAGTTCAAACATTGATTGGGCTCGTGATTGGTATTCTAGCATTCTGCTTCGCTACTTGTACTACGTGTGTGAGGTCAGTCCTTGTCAGGTCAGTCTTTGTATCTAAGTCTTCCCTGCGCTATTCAGCACTTTTGTATGTATGAGAATGCACATTGTCTGTYGAKATTCTACTCTCACCGCATTGTCCATTTCAGTCCTTTTTATCACACTGCAGTTCCTCGGTTATTACGAACATCACATATCTGTGCATGTAACACACACCAAAGCCACCATCCTCTCCTTCCCAATATCTCTCACTGACGCTGCTACGCCAGCCATTCTGAACTGTAACATCGAATCAGCCTCATTAGACCCCTTCCTCCTTAGGAAAGTAAGGGTATTAGGCTCATGGCCAAAGTCAATCTTCAGACCAGATACTGCAGTTCGGTCCCTAGAGTTCGATCCTGCTGAATGGGCCTGGACGCCAAATACTACCAGCAGCTTTAAAACAAAAATCCCAATTCAGGACTACACAGTCAAACTCRGGTACAGACTCTCGCTGAAGCCAAAGAATCCAGACCCCATCATCAAAAGTAGGTGGCAGAAGCTTGTGGGCCAGGAAGCTGACAAAATTATAAAAATTCCGTGGGAAAARTTTAAACGAATTCGACCAATCAAGATCAGAAGCTTACAATGGTTGATAGTTTACGCTGCCCTACCGGTGAACCAATGGCTGCACACTAGACGGAAAGCCACAAATCATGACAGCTTGGAGTTATGTACAGTCTGCTCTGCAGGAGTGGTAGAAGATATAGTTCACTCTCTGGTGTCCTGTAAAGAAGCGACAGATTACTGGGCGAGAGCCTCTTCACTTTGGGGCTCCCTCTTCACATCCCCCTTCCCTGATCAACCCATCCAACTCCTCCTTCTGACTAACATTCCCAACCCAGTTCGGAGAGCAGAAAGGATCTGGTTTGAGCTAATCAGGAAAGTGACGCTATGGGTCATATGGAAGGAAAGATGCAGCAGAACAATCGAAGGACGCTCCAACCCAAGGGAGAAGGTATGGATAGAAACTAGAACAATGATTCAAGCAGAAATCCTTTGCAGATGGCGTAAGATCAAACAAGCCTGGACAGAGGACGAGGAGCAGCGGAAGAAGGAGAGACTGGGTTTCTACAACAGTTGGCTGATCAAGGGCAAGATCGCAGAGCTGCGAGAGGACCGGGTATGCTGGAAAGAGTGGCACAACTCAATTTCTGAAAGGGGTCTTCAACAACATACAGCATCGGAAGCAATAATCGCGGCTTAGGCCTCAAGGGACTGAACCCCACGCCGCAAGAGTCTTAGGGGGTAGGGACAATAGAGGAGACGTGGAGGAAGATAGGTTGGAGAAGGAGAGTGACGGTCCAAGCCCAAGGATACAGAGTGGGGATTGAGGATTAAAAAGGGTTGGTAGCCTTCTGAGAAAAGCGCTGGAGGACTAGAAGACGAGACGAGATGACAAGGCAACAAAGGCGAGGGGGGTGCTCTCTCTCTAGGTTAAACGGTTACATCTGGTAGATCTAGAAATCAGGTCTGAGAGGAGAGAGGAGGGAAGGGCAAGCTGACAGTCAATCCTCCACCATGGTGGAGCAATCAATGCTGTTCAGGGGTCCTTCGGCCAGACGGAAGGAAGCGTATGTGTGTTCCTTATGTTGTATTCTTTCATTCTGACTTGCTGGTGGAGTAGGAACCGGACTGACGCTCCCCAGAATGGAAATGGAGCCAGGGCCATAGGACCTGTTTAAGAAAAGAATGAAAAAAAAAGAAGAAATTGTGTCCGTTTGAAATAGCAAAGGCCGGTATTAAGGGACAGAGTAGAAAGCATACAAGTCAAGTTTTCATGTGGCAGTCAATTCTCCAAAGGAATGTAATCAATGCTGTCAGGATCTTTCATCAATAGCAGCAATAGGTGTTTTGGAGAACGGGGTTGCAGCAGTGGTAGATCCTCTCAACTGGGGCAATCAATGCTGCTGTCTGAGGATTTCTTAACCATAACTGGGAGAGACATTCAGTGAGCACATCTGATGCAAGGGACGCTGGACCTGGTTTCCAGCTTTATTAATACAATCCTAACTTTTTGGGGGGAAAAATGAGTAATGTCTTTTGCCAGAAAAATATACATTTTTTTATTGTTTGTCTCAAATGCGGTGACACATTTTGATAGGAGCATCAAGCAAAGGTTGTTTGTGTTGCAATACTGTAAAACTGTTTTTCCAGAGTTTTTTTTTTATGGAAGCTGCAAAAGTAGGAGAACAGCATTTCTTTCACCCCGAAGTCAGGCAAGGTTGCCTAATCTTAGTGCTGAGTTTCTCGAGACATGCAAGACGTCAACCCATTCTAACTTGAGCGATAGTAATTCTAGCTTTTGAGACTGAGCAGACTTGTGTATTGCACTCCCTTTTCGAACACAGTCGCTCACTGTCAGAGAGATGAACTGTTGTGGAAGGAGGTGGCAGTCTACAAATTGTCTTGGTATTATGAGAAAAGGAGGACAGTTAATCCCCCATGAGAGCACTTGTAAGCGGGCAATGAATGCTATCCTCCTCTGCATGTTGTGCTTTCACCTTGTCGAAGGGATGCTGGACCCTATTTCTAACACGTGTAGTTTTCCAGCACGACCACCACCACACCCCGTGGGGGGGCTCCCATTGAGGTTGCTCATATCAGATCCATACGTCAGACCCCTGCTGCCAGTAGTGTAAAAAAAAAAAAAAAAAAAAAAAAAAAAAAAACACCCCGAAACATCTCAGACAAGGTACAAGGTACGTACCTTGTATTCGAGTACAAGGTACGTACCTTGTATTCGAGGGTACTTTCTATTCGAAAATTTAGCAGCGATTTCTCGGGACCCGTTTTTCGGAGGTAACTTGAATACAAGGTACGTACCTTGTTTTCGGGTTAAGACGGTAGTGGTTTAAAACTTTAAAAAGTGGTCAGAGAAGTTGAGCTGAGAGAACTCTCTTTTCCTGACTCGTGACATTTATCATCCAAATATCACACAAGTTTTCCAACAAATCAAGGGATTCCTAATTGAACCTAACCCACAGAGTTTGAACCGGTTTCCTTCCGAATAATGGCAACGAGGCATGCTACAAAATGCCTTTCTGCGGCAGACTCCTCTCGAGTACACCTAAGTCTTTGACGAAAATCTGACAGGGCCTGCAGTGGTCTGATACACAATGCAAGTACTTGGCCCAGCGATCAATGCCGAGCCTGGAATGCCCCTGCGCGCCAATTTTTGCCGAAGCGCCAGAGTACCGTTTCAATTTTTTTTTGTCTGGCGCTTCCAGCCATTGTGGTCCGGTACCCCAAAGCACTAAAGATGTGTTAACAGGGAAGCGCTGCGGCCGATAGCTGGGCCAAGTACTGGTGGTCCTGACATAGCTCCTTACTAGTGAGGCCTGCTCGTGAAATCTCCACCACCTCGGACATAATTTTCCGAATGTCAGTCGGTCAGTGTGCTAGAAAAGACCAAGCCAGTAAGGGATCCCTACGGTATCACCCGGTGTGAGATCGAACTTGTTCCTCAAAAACTGGTCCCCCTGGACCCTGTCTCTCAGTCCCCTCTTGCTGCCCCGGGACGGCCTTCCCTCCCTCCCCCCTCCCCCTTAGCTAGCCCCTGTTGTTCGTGCAGATCCAACTTCTGCTGTGGCTCCTTGCAACGCTAGTTGCCCCATTCAGTGCCTGGGTGCAAAGACACAGCCATGCATGCCTGCTGCTTTGGAAAAAAAAAAAAAAAAAAAACGCAAGCAGCACARATGTTTCAGAATGACTGGCGCTCGGTGCACAGCCAAAGACTAAACCAGTAAGACCCCTAGGGGGTCACCATCATATGTGAAATCCAAAGTATGCCTCAGTAACCTGTCACATTGAATATGTTTGCTGCTTCCCTTCCATGGATCAGACCATGCCTTAAGCACAAGTCAAGTCAGAAGTAGTGTGTTGTAGTGTAATTGCACTGAGTTTGTTTGAATAAAGACTTTCATTTCTTCTTTTTGTCTCCTCGTGAAGCGGGTCTCCCTTGTTGACGGGATGCCGCCCTGCTCGCGGCCCCACTTCTGACTGATCCTGCTTTTTTCCCGGCACCTTTCTTGGCATCCTTCTTCCCTTTCTTGCCTTTCTTCCTCCTCCTCTTCCTCAGTGCTTCGGCCCTAAGCCTCTCCTCCTCCTCCAGCCTCAGACGCTCCTCTTCCATTCGCGATTGTTCTTCCTTGAGTAACCTCTCTTGCTTTGCGTGGAGTTCCCTCAACATCTCCTCCTCTTCCAGCCGTTTCTCTTCTTGGAAGTCCCTTTCCCGTCGGGCAAGATCGGCCTCCAGTTGCTCCTTCCTGCGGTTTTCCTCCTCCTCCTCCTTCTTCCTGGCTTCCTCTCGTTTTGCTGCCGCAATGTTTTTCTGTTCAATATCTTTCACTCGAAGAAGCTCCCTCTCTGCGTCCCCGTTTGTCATCACATTCTTCACCATCTTCCTGATCTCTGGATCGTTCGCAATGGCGAGCGCATTGTTGCCGAAATCATTTCGTGCATCAGCACTTGCACCTTCCTGAAGCAGCAAACTGACAATGCGTCTGTGGCCGGCACTGGATGCCAGGTGTATGGGCCTGTTCCCATATTCACCCACAGCATCTACGTTGGCCCCTCTTGCAATCAGCATCTTCACGGCAGCCATATCGCCTTTGTACGCAGTCCAGTGCAGTGGGGTGTCTCCTACAGAATTCTTCACTGTGGCGCACGCGCCTGCTTCCAGCAAGGTCCTCACTATATCCTCCCTCCCAAACCGAGCCGCCACAAGCAATGGGGTGTCGAATGTCACTGGGTTCCGCTGATCAATGTCATCTCCCTCCGTTATGCAAGCAAGAACGCTCTCCAGGTCCTGATTCTCTGTTGCCTGCATAAGCGTGATGTTCGTTTTCAAATCGTCAATGCTTTCAGCTGCTGCAAGTGAAACTCGCTTCCGAAAGAAAATATCGTCATCCTCGTCCTCGTCATCCTGGTGTCCCGGAACACCCCCCATCAATCCAAGTAAAGCGTTCTCTTCCGCGTTCCGGGCAAGAGGCGCCTCTGAGAACAGTGACATCTTTTTGCTCTTCTCCTGCACAGCCGACATTCTCCTTTGCAGTCCTAGCTCCTCCCCCTCGTCTAGTTTGCTGGCATCAAGCGCACCGGGATCGACAGAGTGTCGGCGACCTGCTGCATCCGCCGACGTCCCTTCAGGAAGGGGCGCTTCAACAGCCGAGCGGGCCAAGTTGAGGATTTCCACCACTTTCTTTGCAGGACCAAGAATTTCCGACATCCTCTTGCTAGGGTCAAAGAAGGCCGATTCGTCTTTTGCATCACCAGACTCATCGGGTACATCAGGGTTTTCTTTCTCCGCCTCCTTGGATTTTTCATTGGTACTATGGGACTCTGCCACTTTTGCCGTCTCATTCTCCGATCCCTTGTAGGGATTCTCTTTTCCCCCATCACCATCTTTGGTCGTCTCCGGTATTTCCACCGCCGATGTCTTGTCCGGCTCTCCTATGATTGCGCTCGTGTCACCATTGATCTCTGACATCATCTCAACAGTCATTCTCGTCGCCAGCAAGTGCCTCTGCCTCTGCTCTCTCACTCACTGCCATGGATACACTTGTCTCTCAGCCCTTGTCACCTACCCTTGGATGCCATCATGCCACCGATTATAATAATGAACTCTTTCACTTTCTCCAAAACCCAAAGGAAGGGATCTTCTTCAGGGATGCAATATTCAGGGGCCCCACTTCAAGTGTCCTGGATGTGAGCCCACTCCCTGGCTGGGCGTGCCACCTGGTCTGTCTGGAGGAAAGTCAACCGCCGAGCGGTCCAATTTAATTAGCGTCAGCTGGCAATCACTATCTTTTCCGTGTTTTTCCATGAAGGATTTATTTGCTGAAAGAGACATGTTTTTTTTTTTTTTTTTTTAACCAGCGGCCTCTACTAGAGGTGGTGATAGGAACAGCAGCCTCCTCTAGTAGATGTCCCTGGTTGCTCTTTCTATTGGTGGGGAGCTGCACCTGCTGGAAAACGGGTCCAGCGTCCCCTCGACTTCCCTGTACAGAAAATGACAGTTGAAACGAACGTCAGTTCCCGCCAGCACTCATTGCCCCAGGTTGTCCAGGGGATTGACTGTGCGGTGAGACAAGCAATTGTGCCAAGAATGTGTCTTCACCCTTCTGGCAGGGTGCCTATACTAGCCTGCTATGATGTGATAGTCCCAAATTCAGCATTAAATTGGGCAAGTCTGTATCCCTTCTTCTTCTTCTTCTTCTTCTTCTTCTTCTTCTTCTTCTTCTTCTTCTTCTTCTTCTTCTTCTTCTTCTTCTTCTTCTAATTGAGGAGGTGGGTTGTTACACACTTCTTAGCGGATATCGACTTCCATGACCACAGTCCTGCTCTGCGTATCGAGCAATACCCTTTGTGGAAAAGTTTGGACCATTTCTCGATTTATGTGTGCCATCCTTGATAGCGCAGGGGCTATCCTAATCTTCTATCTCCGTATTGTTCCAATTTTAAAGGATGTCCCATAGGACGGGTATCCCACCTTCTTCTTTACTTAGTAAAGTGCTTAGCTCAGTTGGTACACCCATGAACTGTTGAAATACACGCCCAAGTTCAAATCCAGACCCAATCAGATGACCAGAATAAAATAATTCTGGATTACCTGGGGCCTATCAGGTCAATGATGATATCTCAAGGCCATCACTCTCTTTTTTAATTAAAAGAAGAAGAAGGAGAAGAAGAACCGATGGGCCTAGCTCAGTTGGTACACCTATAAACTGTTGAAATACATTTGAGTGAATTTTTGAATTACCTGGGCCCAGTCAGTTCAATGATGACATCTCAAGGCCGTCACCCTTTTTTTTTCTTTTTTTTTTAATGTGATTTTGAAGCAGTTTCCACTTCCTGTTCTCAGTAGAGATTCTTCCCCAGAACCTCCAACTGAACAGGAGGGAATGCTGGGGCCAGGCCATGCTGACCCACAATTTCAGTTGTGGTTTGAGTTATTTTGCTGAACTGCTGCTGGTGAGATCTCAGATTTGGTCCCTTGCCCCTGTAGCCTGTAGGGCTGGTGGGGAAGCTTTCCCAGTAGTTGACAGTGTGGTCCCCACTGGAATCCTGGGCTGAGATTTGGAAGGCAAAATTGGCGAATACATTGTTTTGCAGGTGTAGATCAGTCAGGTAGTGTTTCTAGTGCAGCTCAGTCCCTTCCCACTGGCAGACCCTCGCCGCGGCATGAGGCAGTGCAGCTCCACAAAACTAAGAGGGAGTAGAAAAGGTTCATTATCAGAAAATGGGGAAGCATACTTAAACCACCAGTACCTTTCCCATAGTACATTGGCCACGGGAAAAAATAGAGTAGAAGCGTTTCTAGTCGGATGAATCTGGGCGCTCCCGTAGTGGCCCATTCGTTTACGATTGTCGCGGCTCGTATACCGCCGCAAAGTTTGGAGGTACTGGCGGTTTAACTGTTGCCGCTGAGGCGTATGCTCAGCCATAGTAGCTGAGGTCTCTGCGACGATGAGCTCAATTGCACTTCCGAGTGTTGCAGATTGAGAGTGGGCTGGGCACACTGGTGGGCATGTTAGAAGCAATTACATATGGGATAAGGTGCTGGTCACACTGAGGTAGGATAGTTGGGATGGGGGGTGCGCTGGGCGTATTAATGTGGGGAAGGGTAGGGAAGGTGGCCTATCCTGTCAGAACAACCATGGGCTGCCGCTGCCAGCGATCACCGTGGGGGTCTAGTCCGTGGCCTCAACCGGGCCACCTTCCGTTTTTGCCAATTATTGAACTGGTAGGCCGTCGAACGCAGAGTTTACTGTTTTTCTTGCAGTTTCTAACTGGTCTTGGCCCAATCTTGCAGTGGACTGTTATTTCTGTGAATTCTGGACTGTGCAGCGGTCACAGGCGCAGTTTTTTCAAAAGAAAAAAGGTGAAGTATTCAATCAGATTTGACGATGAGTGACTGAGTGAAGTCGAAAACAAGCTCATTTCGGCAAAAGGCCCACATGCACGGCTATGTCGAAAGGAAGGACGCGTCGGACACGGCCATACCAGGGGGAGTGGATGCAATCGCTCTGCTGACTCGGGAGATAAATGTCGGAACAAATGAGGATAACGAACTCCATTACGTAGTGATTGAACGACACGATTCTCTAAGTCGTCGAGTAATGCTTGACCTGTCCCAAAGCTGGCTGGTCTTGGAACAATTAGTCAGTCTCCCAGTCGTTGGTGCCTCTGGAAACGAAGGCTTTGCTGCTATAGCTGAAGCCAATCGGTGGCAGTCTCTCGAATGATTTTGGAGGACTGGCAGGTGACAGGATCTCGAAGCTCCACCGTCTATCGCATATACATGATGCATGTAAGCATACGCATAGTAGACCGACACCTACACACAGGGACACACACATACACAACTACATACACATCCACACGCGTACATGAGCATACACACATCCACCCACACATGCACGTACACACATGGAACCACGTCTCACACGTACACAGATATACACCCATGGAATCACGTGTCACACATAGGCACATGCACACATACACACCTTCCTACACATATCCACATGCATACAGACATACAGTCCTACACTTGCACACACACAACTACACACGTCAACATGCACACACACACACACACGCACACACACACACACAAATCCCAGCACATACAAGGTGCACAGTTACCCACACGCACAACAGCAGCAATGCTCTGTCTGACACCGTGCACGCATATGACTGAACGGATTGGCCGATAAATATGCCCAGAAGGATTGGGACCAAGCGTTGCACACAGGCCCGTGTATTGCCAGCCAAGATGAGCAGACCAGGATGGGAAAGCCTCGGGGAGCTGGAGCATGAATTGCTCTTCTTGTCAGTTTTTGACACATCGTTCAAGGAGGCCCACTATTGGGGGGTGATAGGAGCAGAGTCCCAAACAGTGAGCAACCTGCACCTGCTGGAAACCGGGTCCAGCGTCAACACTTCTGAAAACATTCAAGAGAACCCTGGCCCAAAATTTCCTGGAGGCATTCGTGGGACTGTGGGAAGCGTTTGAGCAAAGTGTGAGTACTAAGCCGTTCAATTGCCACTTCATTTCAGCCTGCCTTTCCAAGCTTGCGAAGATTCTCTTCATTTTGTGAGGCCCTCTGACATCATGATTCGCGGTCTCACAACAGGAATCGTCTTGTATCACAACACCGTTTCGACGGCACCATGACCCTGGGCCTCCTTCATGGCCCCT